CCTTATTGAGCCTGGCATTTAACTCTTCCTGGCAAAGAGAGATGTATATTATACTATTGAGTTATAAATCTTGTAATCTGCAAGTCTAAAATTATAAATAAAAATAACGTGTGAGGACCACCTGTTCCTTCAAAAAAAAAAAAGAAAAGAAATATTTGTAATATCACCATTTACATATTAAGTGGTTTTGTTTGGATTTTATATTTAGTGATTTTTTTTTTAATTTTATATTTGGAGATAGTGATTTTTTTATAATTAATTTTTTTTGTTATATCCAAACTTGATTCTAATTCTAATCTGTATATAGAAATCTGTAATAATTATACAGTAGTAAGAATTATTATAAAGACCAATTTTGAATTTTACCGTACTTGCATGCAAAATACAGTATGATTAAGAAATCACAAAATAATGATGGCAATAATTTTAACAAAGAACATGTATGTTTTGTTTGTTATACCATTATAAAAGAAAGGTCATTTTGTATTTGCACCTAGCGATAAAACGGTATGACATCCTATGACAATTGGGAAGTTGAACTTTAAAATTTTTGATTATCCATTAACGTTAAGTAAAATTTATTTCATTAATCCCGTTATTTAGAAGTACAGTATATCGATACACAAAGTAAAAAAAATTATACACGTATTTTTTTCTTTTTTTTTTTTTCGGGCAATAAAAGTGAATATGTCCGAGTAATTACATTTGACAGAATGAGAAATAAGAATACCGACACGGTAATAAATAAATAATAAAAAGGAGCGCGCAAAAAAGACATCAATTATATTCCACTCCATTAGTGAGCGTTACTTCGTCAGTTTCGAAATTTTCTATGTATTCCACAGTTTCTTCAAACTCACCATCTTCTTTCTCGTAAGTTTCATCCTGTGCATTATTACCACCACCGATACCCAAATCAAACATCGTTTTCGTTGGATTCTCTGCTACGCTTTTTACAACTTCAACACCCTTTTTTACACCCTTCTTGATCATTTCTACAAACGATTCGGTGGGTGCTGCTGCCACCACCTGATTTATGATCGTTGTGTTGTATTCATGGGTCACGTTATCTCCAAGTTTTGTGTTGTATTCGTTGGTCGTATTGTTTGTCACGTTATCACCGAGTTTTGTGTTGTATTCGTTGGTCGTATTGTTTGTGGTTATGTTTTTATTGATAGCGTTATTGACAGTGTTATTGTTTGTGACCGTGGTAATATGGTAGATATTTTTAACATTTTTAGTTTCCACGTTTTCAACATTTTGCGTTCCTATGTTTTCGACATTTTTCGTTTCTATGTTTTCAACATATTGTTTCTCGATGTTGTGCTCAATGTTCTTGTCGATATTCTTGTCGACATTGAAAGTTTCTATGTGCGTTCGTACGTCACCTTGCACGTGCATTTCATCAATGTTTGCGCTTGAGTTATCCATGTTCACGGTACCAAGATTATTTCCAATACTAGATACGTTCATATTTTCAACGTTCGATTCTAAATGATCGAATTTTTGATACGCGATGCTTTCCTTTATGTTATCCACAGTCAAATTCTCGGTATTGATATTAATTTGTCCAACTTGCTGTTGATTTACATTTTCATTGATTGTCTCAACGTTCACTTCCTCGACATTACTTTCAATCTGCCCTATGTTTTGATGACCAATATTTTCGTCAATACTATGTACATTCATTTTATCATAATTGATCTCCACTTTTTCTGCAGTGACGCTTCCGATCTGATTGTCAAGCTTTGCAATGCTCTGACTTTCAGTGTTTATTTCAATATTTTGCGCATTTATGTTTCCAATTTCACTGTCCAAGTTATTGATCTGTATGTTATCTATTTGAGTCTCAATGTTTTCTGCCGTCATATTATCCACCTGAGAGTAAACATTATTCGCATTCAAGTTTTGTACCTCTTTTATTTCTGCACTTTGGGTATTCAAATTTTGCGTTCCGATGTTGGTCTGATAACTATCTGTTTCAATTTTTTCAATGTGTTGAGCTTTAACATTACTGTTGATAGTATCCGCATCCATACTCTCTACCATTAGAGTGGTGGCATTAATATCAACTTTTTTTGTATCCATATTCTCTTTGTGCTGAATATTCACTTTCACGTTGATTCCTTCTACTATTTGCGTGGTTGGCTCGGAGTCATGAGTATCCTGTATAACTTTGGCGGTGTTATCTAATAATTTGGCGTCATCATACTGAGAATCTTCAATTTCTAATTTCTCAATCTTTTCCTCTATACTCCCGCCTGCGACCTGATCGGTGATCTCCACAACTTCATTAGTAACTTTAGATTTTGTATCGGAAACTATTTGTGAGCTTGCAACCTTCACCTTTTCTTCCACTTCATTCTTCTCTTCCTGAGCGCTCACACTTTCCTCCACATCCTTAACCTCCTTTTGAACATTCACACTTTCCTCCGCATCCTTAACCTCATTTTGAGCATTTGCGCTTTCTTCCACATCCTTGACCTCCTTTTGAACATTCACGCTTTCCTCCGCATCCTTAACCTCCTTTTGAACATTCACGCTTTCCTCCGCATCCTTAACCTCCTTTTGAACATTCACATTTTCCTCTACGCCCTTAACCTCCTTTTGAGCATTCACATTTTCCTCCGCATCCTTAACTTCCTTCTGAGCATTCACATTTTCCTCCACATCCTTAACCTCCTTTTGAGCATTCACATTTTCCTCCGCATCCTTAACCTCCTTTTGAGTACTCTCACTTTCCTCTACGTCCTTAACACCCTTTAGAACGTTCTCGTTCCCACTTTTCTCCGTATCCTTAACATTATATTGAGAATTTGTGCTTTCTTCTGTATTCTTAGCATCTGCTCCTGTAATGTATTTTTGAACATTCACACTTTCTTCCACATCTTTAGCACCATTTGGAGTTTTTGAATTCTCGATTCCTTTTGTACTGTTGACGTCATTAACATTCCTTTGCATAATTACATTCTCTTTTCCGGTATTAATACTAGTCTCGGCCTTTGCCTTATCTTCGTTTTCCAAATTCTTTCTGGTCTCTTCTTTAGTCGATTGAAGTTCATTATTCATTTTTTGCAAATATCTGCCCCCCTCAAACTCCAATGTTGAGGCTTTGATGTTTTCTTCGACTTTGACCTTGCCCACCTTCAATTCTTGCATATATTTTACTAACAAATTTATCTCTTTATCCCAAATGTTCATATATTCTTCGACCTATGAGTAGAATTAATTAAAAAATCATTAAATTTCGCCTCTATCACCTCTCGCTTTACTGACGTTCAGAGCACATACCTTAGACTTCAACTCTTCACGCTTATCTTTAACGACTAGTATTACCTCGATCGCTTTTGCTGATAATTGTTTTTTAACATCATCCGAAATGATTTTTTGACAGAACTCAAGTACGTCCAATGCACGATCAGCAGCATCGGTGTCATCTGATGAGAATTCTCTTATCACCCGCTCCATCAAGTCTAGGTAACCTATCAGCAGTGTGTCAATGTTGTCCGGAAGGGAAACCTTTATAACTCGACTATTCAATGTTGTATCAAAATGTTGGAGAACTTGTCAAGAAAAAAAAAAGCAAAACGTTAAATGTCTAAAATAATATTCTTACCTAGCCTCCTTCAGAACCTTATATCTTGCATTTTTGTAATGGCCGTGATTTTTCAAAATGTCTTCATATTCTTTTTTTGCTGCTTGATGCAGTTTGTTCCAGAATTCTGTGATGGTTCCGGGTATTCTTCTCACCATGAGGAAATCTGTCCTGATCTGATCCCACTCATCATACCATTTGCCTGCACTATATTCGAACTAGATTTTGGGGGTAAAATTATGTTAGCCTTCTCATATCGTGAATTATTCAAATGTCAATATGAAAATATTTACGGTTGACGACAGCAGAGATTGATCATGCTTCATCTTTCTCAAACAAGTTCTCGTCTCTCGTAACAAAAAAACCACATTTGGATTGATTTTTGAACCGCATTTTTCCCAGAATATGGCAATGCTTTTGTACAGCTTGTCGCGGGTTGACATCTTCAATATCGCATCGGACCTTGAGGCCATATGAATCACGGATGACAATGCTCGTCTAATGGGTCAGGATTATGTTGTTAGTCACGTGATAATTGATCGCATTCTAAGCGTGTGACGACTTACAGGTGAAGTTCAAGCTCTGCAATGGATTCACCATGCTTGAAAGTCGTATGGTCTCCAAGATATTCTGCAGATCTTGACACAAATACTTGAACTATGAAACAAAGAAATCAGAAAATTCTCTTATAATCACAGGTAATTAGGTTAGGTTATATTATAGTTACATACCGTCAGGAGAAGTGACAACGGAAGAATCATCCGAATCCTCCATTGAGCACAAAATTTCATGTAATACAAAGTTACGCCTGCTGTAAAACATATAACCCGTAAGGATTAGGTGCATTTCATAAAGAAATAATAGAATTGGAATTTCAATTTCCGCAGAAAAAAAGAAATGACATACGGATTATCCTTTTCCGACAAAAGTTCAAGAATAGCGTTAAGCTTTTCATCTTTCTGTAAAGATTTTTGTTGACTGTTTCCGACTTGACTGGTGTTGTCAGTGGAGGTGGCATCTGGTTTTTTTATGCTGGGCGTATCGTCTTTTGGAGAACTCCCATGATTAAATAAATTACGAATGCCAGAAAATCTTTTAGATTTGGACTTTCTGATTTGAGTCGCCATGTTCTTTGGTGGAACCTCGCTTTCTTTTTTTTTGTAATGATGACAAAATAGAAAATTTTTTTTTTTTTACAATGCTTTTCTTATGATTGATGAAAACAGTCTAATGTGTGTAATGATAAATGATAAAAAAAAAAAATGGATAGTTAAATGAATCGTAAGCTAGTGGTTTTGCTCGACTTCTAGAAAACTGGCAAGGAAAAAAACTTGGTAATATATTTCAAAAAGATAATACGGTGTTCTCGTGGAGAGAGTGATTATTTTTATTCATCTACTTCGTTGTGTTTCCCACTTATAGATTTTGAACTGCAGCAGGACGGTCCGAGAAATAGCAGTCAAATGATAATTCAGAATGTGTGCGCCAAAATAAGCGGACTGTACTCTAGTGTATACATGAGTCAACTATGGCACAACAGTTCCTAATATAATTTTCAAAGACCCTATCATCGGCTCAGGAAACTAAGAATTGTATTATTTGTATTACAATGTCTCTCATGACACTTTGTTGGACGTAAATTAAGAATCTGTATAACTCCCAATGTGTGATTTTCAAAAAGTCAATTTATTCTCATTACCAATTACCAAGAATTCTTCAGAACAACGAAGGATTACATGCATAGAATCACGTGAATGTATAGTTGCATCATAGAAAAGCGACATTGTGCAATGATGCGCAACCAGATCTCATCTGGTTGAAGACGACGATATTGAAATTATTAATCTTCGATTTTGAAAAACATGAACTTTTTTATTTTTTTTAATCGGGACCCAGTTCCGTATATAAAATGAATAGATGCGCCTAAAATCTTGCCATATCAAGAAACCCGACACAGAATGGACCCATTGTCCAGTTATGCGGACGGAGTGTTTAAATTTGGCGATTAAAATAAAATGTCGAATAAGGAAGGGTCCATTATAAGTTTCCCGTGTTGAATTATCACGCATACGTTTCATGCCCACAGAGTCTCCTGTTACTGTACTGCACAAATGATGATTATCCAACGTCGGTTCCACAAAGCCTCAAAAAAATTGAATCAGAACAAAATTAGAAGCCAAAAAATTTAAGTGGTTCGTGCTTCAATCACCCTGGCGTAATTCGGAATGATAGTCTCTGCATCCGATTACAAACAAACAACGTCCTAAAATTAAGGGTGAATTTGAACATTGACAAATGCGTATATACTGTAATCAAAGCTCACCAATCTTCCCCCGCAAGTTGGGAATCGTCAAGAAATTTTGCCATATCATGTTTGGTGCATGAAAATCATCAAATATATTGGCAAGGTGATGCGGACATTGACGTGATTCTGGGCATTAAAGTGTGATTAGAATTATTCAAATTCGTGCATTAACTGGCATGCCGGTGTGGTCTGAAAGATCGCATTTCCCAATGATATCACGAAACATCAATGATGATGGGATCACGTGGCGATAAAAATTCCGAACTCAATGTTAATCAAATTCATTCATTTCCATAAGCAATTTCCATTTAAGCGAGTTGCTAATTTTCCCGAGAATAATGAACAAATTAGGAATCATTGATTTTTTTTTTACTCTCGTAGAAAGCTAATTGATTCGTCGGCTTCCGACTTTCCAAGAACCACGATACCACTCATCCCTTCGAGGGATGATCCGAACTAGATTTGGAGAAAATCTTGTGAAATTATACACACGTGATATAAAGTATCAAGGTTATATAGTCTGTCAATGGAACATTTTAAGGACGACAATGAATAATACGTACAACAAATATGTCAGTTAACCGAACGAAGCAATTGATTCGATTTTTTTTTTTTAATATAACACCTTCGGAATGTAACTAACCTCCGTGACAGTAAGCATTCAAGAATGATAATCCTTTGGATATTTATTTGCTTACTTGATTTTTGAGCTTAATGCAATCATTAACACCTATCCGCATAATAAGATGAAGGAAAAAAGATCTTTTTTTTTTATTGGTGGTAATTATAAATATATTTACAGCATGTTTACATGATCGCATGATGATCAATTATAAACACGTCGTTCTTTAACGAATCATCGGACAAAGAATTATGTTTCTGTGTTATTGCGATCTCTCAAAATAATTAAGCGTTCGGCTCCAATCTAATCGGATGTTCAAAATTGGTCACCCGCGATCAATTCTGAAAAGTATCCATTTATCAACATTATCAGTGTAATATTCATCTTTCGGTGACATCATCCGGAAAATTTCCCGAGTATGGAAGTTCACGGATTCCTAAACCTATAGGAGAAACGTTTTGTTTCCTATAATTAATACGTGATCTTTCAATTGCCCATTCAAAGTTTTTGTCTTGTCCTCTCATGCTTTGTTATATTTATAATCCCTAGTAATAAGATAATATGAAATTTCTACCTAAGATAAATATTATAATGATAATAATAATCACTTCACAAGTGTTTCTCATATGGTTTTTCATTGGTCAAATCCTAGAGATTCTTATATTTGGAATTGGAATTTCGATTGTTGGTTGCACTTGCCTTCGTTATTTTACGGTAAGCGAAAATTTGAGGTTAAAGCCAAATTGGACCTGGTGGTAGTATTATCAATTTCTGATGTAGGCGTATCGGTTTTTTTTTTTTATTTGACCATTGAAATTTATGACATTCGATCGGAAAAGGTAAAGAAAGCAAAAGATGATAAAGACTTGCCAGGAGAAGCTCTATACGAGAACCCCGGGGTATGGAAGATGTTTGGATCGGAAAATAAATGAACGGGAAACCTTTCTGCAAGTAATTGTAAGTAATTGCAAGTAATTGAAGCTGTTTGTTGTTTAATTTTTTTCTCTATCAACGATCTTTAAAAAAAGAATTTTATTTCCCCAGATGCTCGATAAGAAAAACTTTGTCCTTTATTTATTTGATCATGATCTGACTATTTATAGTTTGTCCCGAGTCACGATCGAAGGTGTCTTCATTTTCACTTGACAGCCGGAAAAAGTTATTAATACCTTCATTATTTATTTTTCTTTTCTTACGTACGTCAGTCGCCACTAGTCAAATTCTTTAATTCTCGCATTATCGTCATCACATTTCAGAAAGGTGCTAAGATATTTGTTTTATTTACACAGGGTAAAGGAAAATCCAAAATGTCGAAGATGTTGATCCGCACACTCACGCTGTGTTAATCGAAGTTTCACTTAAAGACTGAAATTATTAATTTATACTTACCGATAATCAAAAACACTGTATCACCGCGTGAATACGATACCCCCCCTTGAAAGCGACCAATAAAAAATGATATTAAAATGTCATGTTCAATAAATCAGAGTGATGTATGTTATGTTTATTAAATTATTTATTATTTTGTTTTGTATGTACAGTATTAAATGAGAGATGTTTGTGCGTTTATAAATCGAAATTAATAAAAATTCATCTCGTGCGCACACGGTTACATTAGATAATCATCCCCCTGGATTGGCTGATTCGAAAAAATTTTTGACATCGAAATATTTTAAATTAATGTGGATGCATTGGTGTGTAAAATTATTTATTTGGCATTTTTCATTCTTTTAAATAATAAATACAGTAATTTCTAAACAAATATCTCGTCTCGTCCTAACAATATCAATCTATACAAATTACCGACATCAATGATTCAGTTCTTATTTAAATATCAATTTAGCATATTTATTTCGATTACTGCCTATTAAAGTCTAAAAATAAAAATAAAAATTTATATCAATTATAAAAATAAGTAATAATATAATTGACAAATATATAATATATGATTTTATGAAATAATGCTTTATTAAAATTTTGCATGTGTGTTTGAAGTTGATTTTGAATTGGCCTATTAAAATTCTGGTAATTAACAAAAATAATAATAATAAATATATTTATTTGTTTAAGTAATCATAAGTTTGCATTATTCAAATAATAACAAGATCATATTTATATTGTTATTTGTTGAAAAAATCAATTAAAAATACTAACAAAAATATTAATTAAAAAGTTAAATGGCATTAAATGCAAATTTTATTGATATATACTATACATGTGTTTGTATTTAATTCAGACATTTTTCAAAAACCATATTATGTTCATATTACTAAGTAACAATTAGTAAGTAAT